TTCCAGCACCGGCTCGAGATATATTACCAAGAATAACCCCTTTTGGGGATCCTTCACATTTTGTCCGCCTAATTTGACCACTACCTCCCCTCCTTCTGCTTTTATCAGCAGCCCGTCTGTAGTTTATGACTCAGTGCTTTAGAAACAGAACTCCCAACGCGGCTGAACAATGCCTCTAGCCAGTGCCTGTTGGGGGAGTTATCATTTTACTGATATCGCATTTTTTAACTCAAACCTCAGGCCTGGTGTATGTTATAGTTTTAAAAAGGGGGAAAAGGACAAGATAATTTCCACATTGCGAGGCAACGCAGGCTGCATTGCTTAAGAGGTCTTGTGGGTGGTGTTTGTTTTAACAAGCAACGTATCATGTGCTGGGGAATGAGGGCACTGGGGGTGGGGAAGTGGGAAAAGAAAGTCCCCAGAGTGTTGCATAATAACACACTGGCACCTTGGGAATACTTCCGGATGTGTGGGCTTCTGAAAAGTGAACGAGAAAGTCACCATAAATCTGTTATACACCCTCATGCTGGTGTTACCAACCCAGGGAAAACATTAGCCCTTCTAAATGGTCAGTGACAAAGCAGATGAAGATGAAGATGGGTCAGAAAGAGGAAGAGGACGGGCCGGCCCGGTGGCGCACTGGATAGTGCGCCGCTTGGGAAGCGCGGCGGCGCTCCCGCCCGAGGGTTCGGATCCCACATTTTTAAAAAAAAAAAAAAAAAAAAAAAAAAAAAAAAAAAAAAAAAAAAAAAAAAAAAAAGAAAGAGGAAGAGGACAAACAAGAAGGAGGGGAAGAAAGAAGAGGGAGAAGATGAAGGAGGAAGAATAGGAGAGAGGAGAAAAAAGAAAGGAAGGATGGAAGGTCGTTCAAATGGAGGGACAGAGTGGCAGAATAGAGAAAGCAGGGCTCTCTACTCAGTCTGGCGACAGGATCACACCTCTATGAACTGTGTGACCTTAGGCAAGTTAAGACATCAGAGTAGGTCTCAGATCCCACACATGAAAATAAGAGACCTCACATAGGCTCACATTAAACAAAGGTGCATAATGCAGGGCATACCACCTAGTGGGTAGCCATAGATGGAGGTTGTTGCTGAGGAAAGTAACAGTTAATGTATGTAAAGCAAATCCAACTTTCTAGGAATGGGGCTAACCCTCACAGCATTTTGTGGCAATAATTTTCAGTCGGAATTCTAAGAGACAATCAACTGAAATCAACTTTGGATAACTTCAGCAAAGCAAACAAACACAATCTATTCAAAAAATATTGAGTACTTCTGGAAGATACTCTGGGAGTGCTGGAAAGCCATGCTTGCGTGGTCTGAAGCCCATTCTCAGCCCCAAATTAGGTCCTAGAACTGGTCTCGTGAAGAGATCCAGAGCTGTTGCAATGTATGCCCAGCGAATTCAGCTTTGATGCTAGATGCTGCCCCTGGTACTTTGGAAATGGGCACGGGTTGTGGCTACGCCCATCATCCTCATCAAGCTGGTTTTAGCAGAGTCCCACGAGCTTCTGATACAGGGTCTAGGGTTGGTCTGTCTGATTGGGGAAAGTCTAGGTCATGTGCCTATATTCAAGCTATAAGGGAGACTGAAAATGAAATGCTTGGGTTTTCAAGTGCTATAGTGAGGTTTGGGCTCTGTCTCCTTAGGGGAATTATTCCCTAAATCTAGGAAGGGGATTCAGATAGTTAGTAAGTATCCAAAAATATTGGTAAATATTTTTCATAGGTGGGTCTTTGAACTTTTACCATTTTCTGAATGAGAATACTGAGGCTTAGCCAAGGTCACACATCTAAGTCATGGTCAGTCTTGTTCAAGCTTGTTCTCTTGGCCACTGTCTTGACCACTGTCTTAACAAATGGAAGGGTGAGAACAATGTTCACCTCTCCAAAGCCTCCCACACTCCAGTCGCACTCTCTGACTCATTAAAGCTAAGTCTGCTGGGAGACAAAGATTTACTGTCTATTTTTCAGCTGTTCCTTTAACCAGAATCTAGTTTTCTAGTTCAAGCTGTGGGGTAGGGTTTATCCTTGGAAAGTAGTCCATGGGACCTGGGATCTCTGGATGGAGCCCTTTCTTCCTGAAATGCCTGTGTCTCTGTGAGTGTCTATAATGGGATTTTAAATGGCCAGTGAAGGGCATAAATGAGGTGCTTCCTCTAACACAAAACTTACTGAATATACAAGGGTAACAGAAAGCCTTCCCTAGCCACCATCCATACCACTGAGAGTTTTGTATTCCATTCCATTAATTTGTTAAATGAGTTGTTTTACAATGATATGTCCCTCATATACCCCTGAAGCCATGCAAGACTAGGAGCTACTTTTTTGTGTGTGTGGGGGGGGGGGGGGGGCCGGTAGCTTACCATACTGAGCTCTGGACTCAAACTCTCTGGCTTTAAATTCCAGCTCCACAACTTAACTGTGCATCCTTAGTACACTACCCCATGCCTCAGCTTCCACTTTTGTAAAAGCAGTATAATAAAAGAGTTGTGACAAGAATTAGAGTTTGTAAATGGGCTTGGAATATAATAGGTGTTCAGTAAACACCACTGGTAGCAGAACACTTAGAATCTGGTTGAGAATAACAATCTATAAAATGGATCTATGAGGGTCCAAGTCTCATCCTCTTGGTAACTCCTTCATCTTCATTTCATTTCTCTTAAATGCTTCAGTTACCACACTTTGAAAACCACTGATCTAATCCAAAACTGTCATTCTGGCCAAAGTATAGAAGGAGAAGCGAGGCCACAGGAGGCAAGAAAAGCCTGGGATAGACCCACAGTCCCAGTGCTATTTCCAACAGTCTTCCAGTTGCCATCACTGTATGCTTAAAATTCAGTTCTTTTTCTATGAAATAGTGAACCATGCCATAATTTCACCTCCTCTCTGTACAGGCTCTCACAACCAAGAATATCAAATACCCCAAATCCATGAACCAGGAGTTGACAAACTTTGTAGGTAAAGGGCCAGACATAAATGTTTTAGGTTCTTATGGTCTCTGTTGCAACCACTCAACACTATTGTAGCATGAGAGCAGCCATAAACAATATGTAAATGAATGAGTGTGACTGTGTCCGAATAAAACTTTATTTACAAATATAGGCAGTATGCTGGTTCTGGTCTGTGAACCATTCCTTTGCAGACCCCTTCCATGGACAATGAGCTTCTACCTGTAAGAGACTTCCTTATGTTTGCTTATTGCTGCGTAGTTCTAAAGCAACACAGCACAATGATGTGAGGGTTCAAGCAGCTGTATTAGGGTACCATATCCCGCCTTTACCATATCTACCTTCTTCCCAGAAGCACTTAAGTTACATGCCACATTAGTGCAGGTAAAATAGGCAGATATTTTCAAGCATGTTCTGGGAGTGATGCTGGCTGTCATGAGGATGACGGTAAAGGTGAGATTTTGGTTCAAGAAGAGCTCACGATTATGAGGAATCAGTTGCACACCTTGGAAATCACGTGACAGAAGTGCAGATAAGGCTCTTAGAGATGATCGTACCCAATCATTTTGACTTACAGGAGGAGAAGTGAGACCCAGACTAGGAAAGCGACTTGGCCAGTTTTATGCAAGTTCTCTGCACAGTTGGGACCACAGCCTGATTTTTTAAATTTTAGCCCAATGTTCTTTCCACCACACAACCACACTAGTATCAAGCTTATACTATGGACCATACTCAAATCAACAGAGGAGAGAAAAAATCTCCTGCTATTTTAAAACCCAAGACCTTGCCTGGAGGCTCCTGTGTCCTTCCTCCCTCCCCATCTTCCTTTCTTCCAACCACAAGTATTTTCAAAACATCTTACTGTGTTTCTCAGCCCCTACATGGTGCCAAGGAGATAGTAGGTGCTGAAAAAATGTGTGGTGAGAATGAAATAAAAGGTTAATAATACGTAGTCTTTACCTGCACAGAGCTCACAATCTACCGAAAGAAAGAGTCTAAATGCACCCGTGTAATGCGCTGTGGATATGAGGATGCGATGACATTTCCTCCCCTTTAGTCTTCCCAGAAAATTGCCTTTCAGTAAGAAATCCTCCCACCAAGGTTTTCATCCCCTCTGTAGCTGCCTCTTCCCTCTGCAGATAGAGCACCTCTGTCTTTTGTCCTTGCAAATGAATTGTGTTTAGTTTTCACCTCCAGCCCAGGGGATTAGCTTGGGGGACTTTTGATCTTCAGGTATCGATTTGCATCTTAAAGGAAGTATGATCTCATCTGGGCCAGCTCAAAATTCCATCCCTGCCCCCCAGACCCTGTCTGTTTACCAGCCCCAGGCTGGCCGGGGCCTCCCAAGTGGGGCTGAAACAACAAGATCAGCCAGACTCCGCGAGAAGGCAGAGGAAGACAAATTTCCCATCTGACTGGTAAAGGTGGGAAAAGGACGTTTGCTTTCTAAACACAGGCTGCTCTGCTATTCCTCTGCCATCAGAACAGAGAGACTGCCCAAGCTTCTGAGTCTGCAGAGGGGACCGTGGCGGTTCTTGGATTCTGGCTAGAGGTTGTGTGGCAAAATGGGCTGAGCACGCACTTGAGAATCAGACAAAATCAGGTTCAAGTCCAGCTTCTGTCTTCAATCACTTCTGACCTGTTTGGCTCTGGACAAGTTTCATAATCTCTCTGCCTTTTGGTTTTTCTTGTTTCTAAAATAAGGATAAAAGCCCTAAATCATCTATAGTAATTGCCCTCCTGATGGCTGGTGTGAAGAAAAGCAATAATATCTATAAGGTGAAGCTTGATTAAAAAAAAATATACCTGTCATTGTCATCATCTACGAGAACGTAAGCATCTTGTTTGTTTGTTTTGTTTGTTTATTCATTGCTGTATTTCCTGATGCCTGCAACAGTGCCTGGCACACAGGAGACACTCAATAAACATGAGTAATATAAAAGAGTGAACCATCATTTAGTCATAACTACTGTTGCTATGGTAATTGAATAACTATTATGCCCTGTCTACGTCTCCAGCCAGACCCCCCAAAATGACAAGGACTTACCAATGCAATTGAAGGAAACTTCTTGTCTGCAGAAAAGGGAGCAGCCATCACCATTAATCTTATTCATGTCATCGCATTCCTCCCCTTTGTCTCTGCAGAATGGACAGAGAAGAGAAACTTGCCAGATCAGTTTCAGAACCTTGGCTGGACATAGAAAAGTCCTTCCTTGGACCATGAACCTTCTGTGAGACATCGGGCAAGTGCTGTCCCACCTGAGTCTCTGTTTCTTTATCTTCGAAATGAGACTCATCGAAGGTGGAGGTTTATGAGATACTTTTACATTTGCTTATTTTGTGTTTCTAATGACAAAGTAGAATCCCTGCTTCAAACTCATTCTCTGAGATTTCAAGTCAGTTAACAAGTCAGATGGGAGTAAGAAATGTATGAATGAATGAACAAATAAATGCACACATCTTGCTCCCACAGTGTCTAGGAAATATCATGACCACTTTCATGTTTCTAATTTTGGAAGTTCTATAATACAGATGCTGTTCCTTCCCTACTCCCAGCAGTGACATCCTCCGTACTCCCCCAATACACTCAAAAGTAGAGTTTTCCCATTCACATGCTCAGGTTTAGTCATCCTATCACCGGAAAGTTTTTGCCTTCTCCAGTTGGCGTCATTTCATGGTGTCAAGAACTCCAAAGCCTGTAGGACTATGCTGTTAAGAAATAAAAATGCCCCTTCTCATTTTTGTTGGAATTATTTCCATCACTCAAGGATGATTTTGCAGAGGTTAGGATGGGTGGAAAAGGAGCAATGCTCTCTCTGAATTGAGCTTAGGCAAGGAGAAGGAGGAGCAAAACCTGAAAGACTGAATGGATTGTTGCTTTCTGGAAAAAAAAATCCTTTCTAAAGTCCTTTTAGAAACAGAACATTTAAGCTTAGAACCCCATGTTTTAAACTAGATGCGTGATCTTGGGTAAGTCACTCGACCTCTCTGTTTGATCTTTTTACCTGAGATGATTTAAATTTAAATCAATTAAAATGAAATATAATTAAAATTCCATTTCTCAGTCACAGTAGCCATATTTCAGGTAATCACTCATTAGCCACATGTGGCTAGTGGCTACTGGCTAACAGCACAGAATACATTTCTATCACTGCAGAAAAATCCATTGAACAGTGCTTTTTTAGATGCTGATCTTCGGTTTTCTCATGGGTTAAAATGGAGATAATTGGGCCTATTCCTTAGAGTTTGGTGCAAGAATAGAATGTAGCAAAGGGGCTGGCACAGAGTGCGGCACAAAGTAGATGTTCAGGGAATCACAGTTCCTATCCCCACATTGCCTTGGAAGGTCTCTGCAGAATATGTGGCAGCTGTCTCTTCCTCCCCAGAGACCAGCTGGGACCTGTCACAGCACTGAAGAGGCCTCAGACTTTTCCTTTCACCCAGGTAATTAAAACTGGGCAATGTTTGTTGCTTTTAGGAGGTGTCAGAGTAGCAGAATTACACCTCACACATCAATCCTTAAGATGGCTAGGACATTGCATTGATCTCCAGCCAACCAAGTTCTCTCCTGTGTGCAAACCCACGAGCAAAGAAGTGCATATTCCTAGCTGGTCCCAGAAATCTCTGCCACTGAATCTTGTAGGCTGGAAATTGCTGGTGACCTTGTGCTTCTTAGCTATTTAATTGTTTATCTGGGGAGAGACTTTTTTTTTTGTACCTGGGCTGGTTCCCTAAGCCACAAAGAACACTTCTAACCTGCCTTCCATCACCACCCAAGCAGTGTGTTCTATCAGTTGAAGCAAAACATTAGGGTCACTACAAATATCTTACAGCATGACAGATCTATTATTAGATAGAGAGGTTCTGAGAAATCTTCTTTGACCCCTCAGGCTGGAGTGGGTGGCTATCTTTCACTGTGTCCATAGACATCTTGCTCCATCTGTCATAGAACTTGTCAAACTGACTGTTTTTGCCTGTTTCTTGAGAACTGCCCACACTAGGCTGAAAGATGTCAAAGGAAGTGACAGTGTCTTCGTCATCCTAACGCCCCAGTGCCTGGCACAGTGCCTGGGTTTTAGCAGACAGCATGCAGACACTCCTTTACTAGTTAGTTTTACAGTGTTGTCACATTGCATGGCATTGCAGTGGTAAATCCAGATGAGAGCCTGGGCCCTCAGTTCACGTACTGGTTCTATTCCTTACAGGCTGAGTAAGCTTGAGAAAACTTCTTTCATCTCTTTGCATATTAGTTGTCTTTTCTATAAAGTATGATAATAGGACCTAACTCTTCCAGTGGTTGGGAGGACTCAAGGAGATAACAATGTTGCACAGTGCCTTCTGCATAGTAGAGGCTCAATAAATATTTATGTATATTATTATCACTATCATAATACTCATCCAATGCTTCCATCTTCACACTATGTAAAAAATTGGGAGAATCTGCTGTGTGAAGAATCATTTACAACTGAGTGCTAATCCATTGGGGACCCCATTGAGTGCTGAGTCTACCCATATTTCTTTGTAAATTCCCTTATAGATATAGCAAATTAACATCTATCATCCCACGAAAATCCTATTGGCTAAGATGATACCCTTGCTTTTCCCCAAACTTTCATTTTGTTTCTCTTGTTTTTCTTCCTTAAGAAAACATCTATAAGCTGCATTCAGTTTTCTAAAAAAGGTGTCAGCAAATGTTTGGTATCTGCGGGTAACTGGACAAGTATTTGATGTTCATGCAGGATATCAATTCTAGGTAAAAATCTTTTAAAAACTTTATTGAATTAAGAATACTATTTGAAATTAATAATATTAATAATAGTTTGAGATCAACAAGAATTATATTGTTTGTAGTATTTTGCCAATGCATCTTTATTTGGCTCTAAAATGAATACACTGACTTGTTGATCAAGCTCCAAATCTGGTGAGTTTCTTTTTTTTTATTCTTTGTGCTAAATTAGAAAATCCCAAATCACAATCATTGGTTCTCAGCAATGACTGCAGGTGCTTCCTGAATATTCCGGACACAGCCTGATCTTGTATCTGCAAATGCAGCCTGATCTTGGACCTGCAAATGGTGGGCACTTTCTCCCTGGAGGTTGCTCTGCCAGTGTTCAGTCAGACAACAGCCATATCAAAAGCTGGAAGTTGAAGCCTTAATGCACGAGAGAACAGTGAATGGCTTCCCTTTCCCCAACTGTGTTGTATTGGAAACTATATCTTCTTGTTCTGTTTCTGTATTTGGATGTGAATCTTAAATGCACACATTGTATAATATATTTAATACAACATTATCATCGATTTCATTCTTGGACAAGTGAGGAACTTTATGTTCTATACTTGAGGACTCAAATTCTTGGCAATCAGCTGATTTGCACCATAAATGAACACTTAAAAATCCTTATATTATCTTCTCAATATTAAAATCTTGAAAATTCAGATTTGAAATTATAGATGCAGGACATTTAAGACGCAAATATATATCCCTGTGATATACCACTTCAGTAAGTCACCTGAAATCATGCCAGTGATTGTTACTAGCCTTATCAGGACCATGTTTTTTAAAAATATCATTTCTCATTTCAAAAACTTGAATTAGTACCCTTGCATTAACAGCTGTCGTATTTCAGTGGGAGGGGGAGCAGAATCTTACACACACTACTATCGTTTTTTTGCACAGCAACTTGTAAAGATGTAACTCACTGGTCCTCATCTGATCACAATTGCAACATTCACTATTTCTTCCAATGCTAAGTCATGATCAGAAAGCATACAGCTGGCAATAACTGATGTCTATGCGGATGGGTATTCATGTGCAAATTCTTTGTACTTGCATAACTGCATCATCTTGCTGTACTTCTAGCTGTACTCATCCCAGAGCAGAGGTTTCCAGTTTACATTACATACTGCAAAATTATCAGTAACAAATTAAATTGCTCATTCCCTTGGAATTAGCATTAGTAATAAACAAATCTTTCATATACATACTACACCTATGAGCTGATTCGTGTGTTCTGCACATCAGTGGTTTCATCCAACTGTGAAGCAAATTCTCTTTTTACACTGCCCTTCCCCCCACAGGAATAGTAATTGCAATTCCATATTGCACAGATATTATGTGACAGCCAACAGTGCTATTTAATGAAGGAATTTGCCAATAGCTTGTTTTGCTATCTTAATATAATATAATATAATATAACATAAGGCTTATCACTAAATCTGTCAATAGTTTAAAAAGTCTCTTAAGCAATAGTCTGACTTGCAAATAAATACTTTGGAAATAAGGAACAAAATTTTAGCCATAAAAAACTTAATTTTGAATGATTATTGGTCTCTTTTCCACCTCTGGGGACAAAACTCTCCATGTTGTACCAGAACACATTTTTGTGTTTATTCTAGAAGAAAACAACTCAAAAGTTTATTTATCGATTTTTAAATAATACAAAAGTCTTGATGGCTTTTTGCCCCTATTTGGCAATTGTATATCTTGCCCTGAGAACACAGAGATAAGTGGACCAGTAATTAGATAAAATCCATTTATTAGGCATGTATATTTGTACCTTCTGATCATACTTTCTGGCTGGAATCTTTACACTTATCAATCTGTTTGCTTCAGTGTACTTATATTCACATTTATTATTCACTCTGGAGTACTGTTTACTATGTAGGGTTTCAACATTATAGTAAGTGCAAATACTTTGTTATTTTTATGAGCCTTTGACCCATTTTGTAAATTGTTGATAGAACACAAAACAATAAAAATAACAAATAAATATGCAGTTATAACAAATGATAACCAGCAAAGAATGGAAAAGTATTTTAACCTAGATGACCTGTGTCCTGTTAACTGAATGTGGACTGTGATGGAAAACACTAATAGAATCCTTGCAGCACACCTAAAACAATTACAAATAGGAGTAAAATGGGAGTAAGTGCATAATGGTAGTTCTGTCTAAATCATATATTGTATTGCATACTTCAGAAATGCATGTGTTAAAAAAAAAATGTCTGAGACCAGCAAATTGCTTAAAGTCCAGTTGATAGACTGCTGGGGATTACCAGTAACTCACAGCTCACACACGGAAGAATATCCCATAAGCTCTTCTATTCAGCACCCTGACCATCTTGTGGCCTAATTAGCATCCCCCCTTCTCTTTCTTTGGTTAGATCTACTTACTTCTGGATAATGCCATCACCACAGTACCCACTTCCATGGATGTATATGGCAGCAGGGGATGGCTCACTCTCTTCAGTTCCTGAAATGGTTATGACCCGGTACTGGTACACACTGCCAAGTTTTAAATCCCTGGAAAATATAAAGAAGACTATTAGCTATACAAACACAATGCTGGGGGCAGAAAAGGAGAGAATAGAAAATTGATCCTCTTAACGGCTTTCTATTAGTCTTGCTCATATTTTAAATCAAATGCACATGCAGTTATCCAATAATTTTTATGGTCTAGTGTGGTTAGGGTACTCTGCTAAGCATGATGAACCACACTAAAATGTACAGCAATAATAACTAGCATCAATTGACTGATAACCATGTACATTAGTAGGTGCTTTTTATCTTTAATTTAACCTTTGCAACAACCCTGGTGGGAAAGTATCAGATAGCACGTGATCCACAATGAAGGTGTTTGGGAGAAAGCCATCCAGGAAAAATAAATATGATAAGCAAAAGCATAGAGGTGAGAAAGTACCACATCAGAATCTCTGGGCATTATCTGATCATTTCCTCTCATTTTAAGCAGAAACCCCATGACGTGTGAGCAAGACCTTTCCTTACGCTGCACTTAACAGTGATTCTCCTCCTTGCCACTTGCTTCTTTCTGTGTCTCTCACTCTTGACTAAGATGATAATAATAGCAGCATCCATTAATAGAACATCATGCCCTGGGCTAAGCACTTTCCATGCATTTTTTCATTTGAGAATCAAAACAACCCTGTATGGATGGGTACCAGTATTTTCACGTTGATTTTACAGATGATGAATCTGAGGCATAGAGAGGTTAAGCAACTTGCTTACAACTATATGCTAATAACTAATATCCTATATTCTTCCTCTCTAATCCCTATTTTAAGTCTGTCTTAATAATCTCATTCCTTGAAAGTGGGGTCTTGTCCTGGAGTTGTAATTCTGAGGCTGGTTCCTGGCAGATCTGCAGCTTGACTAGATTGTATCTCTCCTCTGACTTCAAGATCTCCTAGTACCTGTCCTGACTTCCTCACGAAGGAACCACCAAAGGAACCTAGCTACTGCCAATTATCCCCCAAGGCAAAGAGATGTTATGTCAGTTTCACATGACCAAATCTCCACCTCTATTTCCTTTTTGACCATTTTCAAAGGGAGATGTTATTCTTTTTTTTTTTTTTCATCTTCCTCTGCACCAATCATTTATTTTTTAATAATTGATAAGTACCATGGGAAAAAACACAAAATGATAATGAAGTGAATTCCTATCAGATTCCAATGTTGGGGGGAGGGGATTTCATAAACAAAAGGATGATGTAAAAAAATCTCAAGTTCTCCTGCCCATCTGTTATTCCAGCTGCTGCTAGGGCTGGGGCTGTTTGGATAAGGCCAACAAGATAACAGGTGCAGGGGCAATGGACAGAGAATGTGTCCTGACTCTCAACGCAACAATGAGTTGAAGTTTACGAGCATTGAAGGACTCTGGTGAGGAACATAACATTCCTGAGAATGTTGGACATATTGCCCCAAAGGGAGTAATATTTAGCAGCACTGGAGATACTAATATTGGGGGTAGACTAGAAGTCCCTGGAGATTCTTTTAGTGTTATGTTAATGAAAATTAAGTGGGTGAATGTATAAAAATCTTGAGATGGGGCCGGCCCTGTGGCTTACTCAGGAGAGTGCGGTGCTGGTAGCGCCGAGGCCGCAGATTCGGATCCTATATAGGGATGGCCGGTGCACTCACTGGCTGAGCGTGGTGCTGACAATACCAAGCCAAGGGTTGCAATCCCCTTACCGGTCAAAAATAAAATAAAATAAAAAATCTTGAGATGTATGTTTGAAGGATGGCTGTCATGTAAACTTCTGGAGAGCTAATTTGTTGACAGAATTATAAGCTTTAAATTTTTTAGCTTATTGTCTATTTTATCCACTTCTAGACTCATGAGTGTACATTTTTCTGTCAATGCTTCTAAAACACAAATGGGTTGGGGGAGAGAGTAGCATTCCCAGGGGATACATGAAGGCATGAAAGAAATATGACAAGCATTGTATTATACATTCATTTTGCTCTAAAATATAGAGGCACGTTTTATATTTTAAAAATATTATGCCATATTAAGGAATAAACTAAGAAATTTGCTTTAGGCTACATCCCAGGCCACTTGGGGGCATATGCTCTCTGTCTGAGCAGATGGGGCACTTGGGTGGAAAAGCATAAGAGTGTGGAAAGTACTTCCCTACATTGTGTTTTTCATTTGCGATGTGTGTCACAAATGATTTATGGCTGATAATATTTAAGGGAGTCAGCTAATATTTGTGAATGTTTTCCTCCTCCCCGCTACTTTGCCTCCCCTTGTCCCCTCTTCATGCTCCTCCTCCTCAATAAACATCAACTCAGAGACAAGCAAACATATGTTTCTGTCCTGGCTTCATCCCTTACTAGCTGGGAAGTCATGGAAGAGTGTCTTAACTCTCTGAGCCTATTTCAAATCAGTCACAAGCCCAGCCTCTCAGCATTTTTATGCAGATTGAATGTGAGACCACATATGTGCCCAGCCTATGATAAACAGTTAATAAATGTTAACCCATTACTGTTAATAGTTAGTTATCAACATTCTCATTCTCTGGAGTTATGGTCTCTTCAATAAAAGAAATGCAGTGAAGATAACTACATGTGACCTTGGTTAGGTAAACCCGTGAAGATGAGGACACCATTTATCACAGGTGCCATAGATTGAGGGAAAGTCTCTGTTCTACCACATCATTTGGTTGGAACAGCCTCAGCACCGGGCAGCTTGTTTTCTTTCCAGGTGGCCTATTCCAACTTCTGAAAATACTGTATCCCAGAAAGTTTACCCTGGGGCAAGCTCTGTCTCCCAGGAACTTATACCCACAGTCTTCTTACATACTAGCATCACACAGAACACATCCAATTGGTAGAGAAACCTGAATAACCCCCCTTCTTTCCATGGTGTGTGCATGGCTCATGTATCCTGAGATCACAGAAGCCTGACAGCAGCTCTTNAAGATAACAGGTGCAGGGGCAATGGACAGAGAATGTGTCCTGACTCTCAACGCAACAATGAGTTGAAGTTTACGAGCATTGAAGGACTCTGGTGAGGAACATAACATTCCTGAGAATGTTGGACATATTGCCCCAAAGGGAGTAATATTTAGCAGCACTGGAGATACTAATATTGGGGGTAGACTAGAAGTCCCTGGAGATTCTTTTAGTGTTATGTTAATGAAAATTAAGTGGGTGAATGTATAAAAATCTTGAGATGGGGCCGGCCCTGTGGCTTGGGCCGGCCCTGTGGCTCACTCAGGAGAGTGCGGTGCTGGTAGCGCCGAGGCCGCAGATTCGGATCCTATATAGGGATGGCCGGTGCACTCACTGGCTGAGCGTGGTGCTGACAATACCAAGCCAAGGGTTGCAATCCCCTTACCGGTCAAAAATAAAATAAAATAAAAAATCTTGAGATGTATGTTTGAAGGATGGCTGTCATGTAAACTTCTGGAGAGCTAATTTGTTGACAGAATTATAAGCTTTAAATTTTTTAGCTTATTGTCTATTTTATCCACTTCTAGACTCATGAGTGTACATTTTTCTGTCAATGCTTCTAAAACACAAATGGGTTGGGGGAGAGAGTAGCATTCCCAGGGGATACATGAAGGCATGAAAGAAATATGACAAGCATTGTATTATACATTCATTTTGCTCTAAAATATAGAGGCACGTTTTATATTTTAAAAATATTATGCCATATTAAGGAATAAACTAAGAAATTTGCTTTAGGCTACATCCCAGGCCACTTGGGGGCATATGCTCTCTGTCTGAGCAGATGGGGCACTTGGGTGGAAAAGCATAAGAGTGTGGAAAGTACTTCCCTACATTGTGTTTTTCATTTGCAATGTGTGTCACAAATGATTTATGGCTGATAATATTTAAGGGAGTCAGCTAATATTTGTGAATGTTTTCCTCCTCCCCGCTACTTTGCCTCCCCTTGTCCCCTCTTCATGCTCCTCCTCCTCAATAAACATCAACTCAGAGACAAGCAAACATATGTTTCTGTCCTGGCTTCATCCCTTACTAGCTGGGAAGTCATGGAAGAGTGTCTTAACTCTCTGAGCCTATTTCAAATCAGTCACAAGCCCAGCCTCTCAGCATTTTTATGCAGATTGAATGTGAGACCACATATGTGCCCAGCCTATGATAAACAGTTAATAAATGTTAGCCCATTACTGTTAATAGTTAGTTACCAACATTCTCATTCTCTGGAGTTATGGTCTCTTCAATAAAAGAAATGCAGTGAAGATAACTACATGTGACCTTGGTTAGGTAAACCCGTGAAGATGAGGACACCATTTATCACAGGTGCCATAGATTGAGGGAAAGTCTCTGTTCTACCACATCATTTGGGTGGAACAGCCTCAGCACCGGGCAGCTTGTTTTCTTTCCAGGTGGCCTATTCCAACTTCTGAAAATACTGTATCCCAGAAAGTTTACCCTGGGGCAAGCTCTGTCTCCCAGGAACTTATACCCACAGTCTTCTTACATACTAGCATCACACAGAACACATCCAATTGGTAGAGAAACCTGAATAACCCCCCTTCTTTCCATGGTGTGTGCATGGCTCATGTATCCTGAGATCACAGAAGCCTGACAGCAGCTCTTTGAGGCAGGGGCTGTTTTTCTGAGTTTTCAGATAGGAAAAGAGAAGCCCAAGTCACTCCCTGAGTAAAAAGGCGAGGAAGGGGTATGGGCATGATTGCCACTAAAAAGATTATGTTTTCTCACTGACAAATCATTGTGATAAAACAACATTTTCTCCAAGTTAAAGTCAAAATTAGTGCTAAACCAGGACTTTTTACTCAAAAGCCTACGTAGGATAGAACTGTCTCAGAAGGACAAACTAGTGGCTTCTGAAGACCTTGCTGGAGGTCAGAACCTATTTCATAGTTGGTCTAAAAGCAGGATGACCTTTCAAGCTGCTCCTGAAACCACCTGGAGAGCCTTGCACTGTCTCTTGAACCCCTTCCCCTCCTGCGCCTCCCCCATCCACATGGACCCTAAGTCCTCTTCATTCTCCCCACCCAGATCCGCCCAAG